CCGCCCGGCACGCCTTGGTCTGTATCCCGCCCAGCACGCCTGCCATTTACTCATACAAGCCAATGCCCTTGGCTGACCAGGACACTACTGAATCCCATGCAGCTAAACAACCTTTCATACTCGTCGATCCTCCGAAGAATTCTCCAATTCTACCCCACTTAGAGCACTGAGTATCAACCACCGGTCGCCACCACCGACCTCCCTCAACAACCCTTCACGACACATACTCTTTCATGCGAACCAATTCCGACTAACACGAGCAATATTCACAGATCACACATCAACACTGATCATTCCGGACTTGAAAGAACTAGATCTTCAACTAACCACTCCTCAGACTGCAGATGCTACCCGATATCCAGACCAATACCCGATTCCCATGAACAACCCTCATGAAAGATAACCAACGAATTCCCAACACTAAAACCATAACCAAGCCATAACCCTCAACACCAAATTATACAATACCGAAATTCACGCAACAAGACTAGCAGATAAACAATACTCCACAATGACCATAAAATAATAAGACATCAAGAAGAACATACCCACAGCTGCATCCGGCACTACCCTGACCTCCTCCGCTGTAAGCTGAAAAGCACGACCCTGAGCCCTTGGGGGCTCCGCTCCACCCTGACCTCCACCCGTGATCCTCAATGTGGCCGGTGCCGGAGCCTGCATCGGTCCTGCAGTAAGCTGTGGACATTTGACCCTCAAGTGCCCAACCTGATGACAATGATAACAGATCCTCAAATCCCGACTCGGGACTGCCTACCGACAATCCCTAGCATATTGCCCCTCCTTTCCGCACTTGCGGCATGCACCACCGGACTAACAAACTTCGGCGTGACCCCTCCCACACTTCCTACAAACGTGGCTGCCCTGATATCCCACCCTGGAATCAATGGTCTTGGACCGTTTCGATGCCGGCTACGACTACACCGGAACTTGCCTCAGCTCACGCAACTACAAATCAATCTCCAACTCCCGCCGCCTGGTGGCCTCCTGCAACTCTAACAATGTCTCGCACTTCGACGCAGACACGAACTGTCTGATATCCCTCTTGAGCATACTCAGATATCAGGACATCTGAGCCTACTTCGAAGCAAACTCGGGGCAAAACATCACCCTCTCAGTGAACATCCTGGTGATCTCCGTCACCGACTCCGAATCCTGCTTCAGCTCCAGGAACTCCCGATCCAATCTATCTCTCTCAACTCGCGGAACATAACGAGTGTTGAACATCTCTCTGAACTGATCCCATGAAACCGCAGCCCTCTACGCATCCGAATACGACCCCATGGTCAATCTCCACCAATCCCTCGCCCCGAGCCTCAACAGGTTCAAAACACACCTCACCCTCTGATCAGCAGGGCATGAACACGTGAAGAAACACCCTTCCACGTCTGACAACCATCTCATAGAAACAATCGGGTCCTGAACCCCATTAAAGGTACGGGGCTTCGTATTATCGAAGTCCCAATACTGAAAACCTCTACCAGCTCCTCCCCCTGCCGCTGCTACAGCCGTAGTAGCCGCTGCGGCAGCCGTCTCTACGAGAGCCGCATAACGCTCATCAAAATACTCCACCATGGCGGTCTTGATCGACCCAAACAGTTCCGACAGCTCGGCCCAGAACAACGCAGCAACCTCATCGTGCAGGATCTCACGTATCCTAGCATCCAAATCGACTGTGCTCATCTGACCGATAACCTTGGGCGGTACTGACCCGCCCTGACCTCCCTCTCCTACTCCCAATCCTGACTCGGATCCACTCCCAGCATGCCTCGAAATCTCCATACTGAAAAACACCACAATATCTCAGATACTTCCCACTATCCCGGGGACCAACTCTCAACCCAACCCTAGAGGTCATGGTTTCCCTGATACGCGTATGGGTCCTATGCTTTCAGTAGTACGGGCCCATACTACCTTCCACACCTACCCATATTTGTATGAAGTACTACCACAACACCCTAGTGACAAATATACGTAGCAAACGCTCAATCCTCACTCCTAGAGGAACACTGGAAATCTCTCACAAGGAAACCTAGGCTAACAGGCATCATAAATCAGGCAACACATCATGAAATCCTGAAGATCCCTAGCCTAGCACTAGCATGCTGTTCTATCAAAGCTCAATAAAAACAAATATCATGTATGGTATTTTGAGATTACTTACTGGCTCTGTCTGATCGTACCTCCGCGTCCTCCTTTACTTATTTTGAAAACCATTTAAAATTCTCTTTTAAAAACCCTCCTCAATTTGAGACTAGAGTCACACGAGTGTTCCTCCAATTCACTCAAACCAAGGCTCTGATACCAACTTGTAACGACCAAAATTTCAACAAAATCTAAACTTTTAAAAAACATCCCAATTCATTAAGTTATTACAAAAAGGTTTTCAATATATTTATTATCAGAGCATTCCCAGGTTCATATCATAAAACATAAACACGAGGAGCGATACGATGGCTCCTTTGCCTTGCTAGAGTCTCCTTAAGAACCTGAAAAACATTAAACCACAACTGTAAGCCCGAAAGCTTAGTGAGATACCCCCAAAATAACAACCACATATACCATACACATAACATGCTATTTCATATCGAATCACAGAACAGCAATGCATATCGGGTCTACTGTGAGACTGGTCCGCCGTGTCGGGCCTTCAATCCACCTAGTCCACTCTCTGAGTCCAGTCATGTCCCTCGAGTCTGCAGTGTGGTTGGTCCGCCCGCACCGGGCCTTCAACCCACCTGGTCCACTCTCTGAGTCTACAGTATGACTGGTCCGCCCGCATCGGGCCTTCAGTCGGCCTGGTCCACTCTCCGAGCCTCGGCACATTTGGTCCACCCTCGTGGAGCCTACAGCCTATTCGGATCGCTCGCTGCGCCTTCAGAACAACCAGTCTACCCTAGGTATCTTGGCCTACAGCACGAAGCAGGACCCGCCTCAACCCAACTCCAGTCCAAACAACCATGTGCACATAAACATTCAATCACATAACAAATTCATATTCAATCAAACCGATCTAACAAATCACGTAACACAACATACTCTAAGCAGGATACCGACCTAACCGGTCACTAGCATAGCACCATCCTATATACCAGGATACCGACCTTAACCAGGTCTCTAACGAATACCATCCTAACTACCAGGATGCAAACATATCAAAGCAATAACATAACAACAGATACCCGGATCTCAATCCGATAAAGGGCCGACCTTGGTGCCTTAGACCCTGTTGATATAGTGAGGATAACTCACTTCGAAACTGTCGGCTGAACGGATAACTCAAGGTGCTCCGACTGCTGGTAGGATCTCCACCACTCGCCAACCACCAATACACTGAACTTAAAACAATATTCAACAATTACCGAAATTGCCACTGGAAAACAACTGGTCAACCCTTGGTCAAAGTCAAAGTCTACCCCTGACTGAATCTACTCGCCGAGTGATCCCGAGACTTACCGAGTCCAACAACTGTGAGTCCACTCGCACACAACTCACCAAGTCATCCCTTGACTCACTGATTCACAGGCCATCCAAAAGAAACTTGGACCCTATGACCAGCCTCGCCGAGTCCAAGAACAGACCCGCCGAGTCTACGACTATCTTCAACCTACTCGCCGAGTTGTTCTTACAACTCGCTGAGTTCCAGGCCATCTTCATCCAACTCCCCGAGTTGTTCTTCCAACTCGCCGAGTTCCGGCCTTTCTTCAAGCAACTCGCCGAGTCCACCCATGTGACTCACCAAGTACCACCGGGTTTGAATCCATACAGAGGCTTTCCAAGCCATGCAGATGATCCAAACCATAGATCTACCCCTCCTAAGGCCATCCATCACTTAAAGTGGCAATCTTTACGTGAATCCAAGAAGATCTAGGCATTTTCACTCTAGGGTTTGGGTTTGGGACGAGATAGCTCCATCAATCTCTCAAAAATAGGGACCTTTATGCATTCTAACCCTTCTCCATTCTAGATCTAAGGTAGCAATCTCAGATCTAACCTCTAAACTCCAATACATCAAAAGATATGATCTCTAAGACCTCCAGAAATGATGAATCTAGATAATAGCAGCTCAAACAATGAAATAATACCTCAAAAGGAAGCTCCAAGAGAAGATTAATCCAAATCCTTGTAAAGCCCTTTGATCCAAGTCTCTTCTCCTTCAAGATTTCTTCAACAATCACTTCCCCAAGCTCCAAATGCACTCAAATCCTCTACAATCACGTATCTAGGGTTTCTGGACTTCAAGAGAGATAAAAGAGGCTGGGGAGAGGGTATAATGTCCTTTAAATAGGGCTCATCCTCCGGATTTAGGATTTTCTCCACTCAGCGCCTACTCGTCGAGTCCATCTTTGGTCTCACCGAGTAGGCCAGTTAACACGCGACAAAAGTCACAACCCTACTCGCCGAGTCCACCCATGGACTCGCCGAGTTGCCCTTATACATTTTCACTTTTAGCCCTTCAACTCTACTCTTGATATTCCGGGATGTTACATCTGTTTCAGTGGGTGAAGTTAGTTTGGGGTATCAGTTGATTGAGAGGAGAACATAGAAGTGATTGGTTGATTGAGGATGTGTTCGAAGGTTGGAGAGATAGTAGTTGAAGTAAGAGGAATGGTTGATGTAGGTGTAACAGAAACAAATGATTCAAAAGGAGTAAAGATGAATGGACCTTGATCTGCATCCTTCGAAACATTTTTACCCAAGCCTGAAATTCGCACCTCCTCAAAAATTGACTTGGCAATCGAAACTTCAGGGGTGATTATGATAGTGGTCTCTGGAATTGAACTTGTAAGAATAGAGGTGACTTCAGGAGTTTCTGGTACGCGTTCATCCTCTTCTGTAGACTCACTTGATGAAACTATCTTCCGAGGCTTCTTGGTCTTCTTCTTCTTCGGTTGGGATAAATTTTTTTCCATGTCTTTAGTTGCTCGTTTCTTGGATGCGGGAGAAATAGGAACAGGAACCTCACGAAACAATACTCCTTGATGAGAAAGTTGAGGTTTACGAAGCAGTTTCTGAGATAAGGAGTTGCGTTTATGCTTGGATTTCATCTTTATTCTTTGAAACATCTCTATTTTCGAAGGAATAACCAGATTTTCTTATGACTCTTCCACTATTGGCGTAATCACTTGTGTTGCTTCGACTGTCACAGCAACATTTTCTGGCTTCTGCTTTGTGGATTTGGATGATGTTGAGCCCTTCGCTTTCTGCTCAGGAGAGATAGGCTCATCTTTCTTCGACTTCTTGGTCTTCTTTGCATCGCTTGGTAATAAGATTTCCGTAGGAATAGAAGAATCAATGGTTTTCAAATATGCCTGCAAGACAGGATTCGAAGAATCCACCCTTTTAAGCATTGCATCGGGAATCTGAGCAACACTTGGAAATTCATCAGCATCATCAACAACCTCCTTTGGAAAATGGTAAGACTGAAAAGTAACATTTTCTTCTTCATCAGAGACCAGAATACCTTCCTTGTTCAAGAAATGTTGCAAAATAAGACTCCAGTACCGAGCACACGAAATGCCATGAACAACATTCGTGTGTTCTACCGCTTTCTGGAACTCCTGCCATAGCTGTGTGGAATAATCGGCAGGAAGATCATAATACAGACCAGCCACCATGGCATATATCTGCATCCTTCCTTTATGCAAGCCAACTGTTCTTCCGGTTAAATAGCGCAAAAACATTCCAAACAAAAAATTCCATAGTTTTGGAAGACCATACTTCTTAAAGTCACTGATCTTTGACAATAAGGGTTGATATCCCATTTCATTAAGCATATGAATGATTTGAGAGAATTGAAATTCAACAAACGGAGGTGTATTTGGAATTTCAAGAATCTGGCAAACAGTTTCTTGGAAAGCCTAACCTTTTTATCATTGACTAAATGAAAGGTAATCGAATCAGTGGATTTATTGTATGTAGCTGTAGATCCTGCTTGAGAAAGCCAGGATAACGGAACAGACAAAGAGTTGAACATTGATTTTGATAAAACAGAGTATTTTAACGCAACAATTAGCATCTTGAATTCCTCCGGGCACTGTGAAAGTTCACCATTTACATAATAATTGGTAGATTGAATCTTGATAACTGGTACTGAGGATGTATCTTCGGTGGAAGCATCAACATGAGAAGTAGTCGCCATTTTTAGGCTTTGAAGAAGATGAAGAACAAAGAATTTTGGGAATTTTGGAGTGTTTGATCGCGTAAACGTAGAATGTACTCTAGAACCCCCTTTTATATGTAACGTTGGATGATTTGAATTTGAAGCGAGATGCATTTAATGAGATCCAACGTGGCACCTTGAAAATCGGACTAGTTCTGCGGAAAGTTAGCCATGCATTAAAAAGTGTCTGTCACATCTCCTAGAAAATCGGGTTGAATACCATAAGTCACGGTTACACAGCCTGTCACTATCCCATTTATTGAATAGTAGCCAATAGAACCCTTCGAATGGAGGCAAGGCTCTTTTACTTTTGGGATGAAAAGCGAAGTCATACGCCAGATGTTCGAAATCATCAGCCTGAGTTGGTATTACCCAGAACCTCAAGGATTTCGTGTGTGTAGTGTGCCAAAGAAAGGTTAGTCAAAAAACAATTAATTTTTTTTTGGAATGTAGTGATGTCAAAAATGCAGTTTGACACGAAGACAGTTAAACCCCGAGCAAAGGTTGCTTCATTAATCATCAAGAGAGATGATCATCATCTTGTGTATGTTCCCGTGAAGTACAATCGACTACTTTTGGATAAGCATCAAAGGGGTTCTTTTAAAAGTAATTCTTGGGTTGGTTTAAAATTTCGTTACATGTCAACCTAAACATAAGGTGATAAATTGTAACAGAAATTACTTGTTTGACTAGTGTAGTCAGTGACAAGTTTTCTTTGAAAAATGTGATTATGATAAGGATATTCGAATGAAACTCACACTGAAATCATATTCATAAAAAAACTTGTGTTCTGGATCTTGTTGGGTAAAAAACATCGTGGGTTTCGAATGTTTGATCAAGACCACACATTCGAAATGAATATGATTTGAAGTTTCGAATTTTGGTACAGAAACAAAAGTTTCATCAATATTTGGAACAATGTTCCTTGTCAATTCCTTAAGTTTCAAGATGTTTGGGTTTCACTTTCATCACGGACACATGAGGTCAGATCATTAACACATAATTTTTGTATATCTAGGTCTTGATGGGTTTGATCAGAGACCTCTCAGACATACTGTTGGGTTATGAGCATTCTAACACTCCTAAGTGTACATGCGACCCTAAATACCTTGGATCTATGTTTTCTCTATTATACATGCAAATATGAACATCCAAGGGATTATCCTAATCTAGCATACAAAACTATCAATATAACAAGATAGAATACATACCTCTTTGATGTAGAATGTCTTCATGAAGCTTGAGTGCCTAGTGCCCCAAGTGTGACACCTCAAATGGTTCACACAACACCAAATACACTTGGAATAACTTAAGAGAATTCTACACTTCGTGAAATCGGCTAGCCCTCTCTAGAATAATACTAGTGCCGATTTTGTCAAGAATAATATCTTTATATAGTGTTACAATTAGGGTAAACCCTAATTGTCATGACTTTCCATTTCCTTGGATCCATGGGTTCAAATACACCATGGAGCATCCATGGACCATCCTATGGGTTTTAGCCCAACTTGATTATCCATGGAGCATTAGCCCACTATACAAGTATGGATGATTTACACAATCAACCCATATATTTAATTAGTCTTCTTTTGATCACTTAGTTAATCCTAGATTAATTCTTGATCAATACTAATTAAATAATCTCATTATTCTTATTATTAATATACTAGAACTTATAATATATTAATAACCATAAGTGTCTTATTTCTCTCATTATAATCTATCCAAGTGCATGATGCCATGCAACCCAAATGGAGCATGCCGGGTCGGGTCAAGTCTTACCAATTATAGTTATGGGCTTAGACATTAATCCAATAGTCTCCCACTTGGATAAGTCTAAAACTATTATTGCGTATGACTTCAGGAACCAACTGGCAATCATAGCTCTCAAAAGCTTCTGTCGAACTCTGACCTTGTTGATAAACTCTGACCTTTATCAATGACTTGTCCATTAGATAAAGGATCATATATTCCTCCTTCTAGATATCATATGGACTGAGACATGGATTATAATCATTCTCTCTATCCATTTGTTGTTTCCCGATTTTCGATTTATGACCACTGACTAATTGAACAAATCAAATCAGTCCTGGCCCGGCCGAGCACTTCCATTTGTCATCATCAAATCAAAGAGGGGCCCACAGATATCGCTTTTATCCCGAAGGTAAAAGGAATGGATAAACGTCGACTCATATGGCTTGTTCTACTACTTGTTGAATCATTCACAATGACACGTTTTATAGCACCGAGTTACCAAATGCGGTTTCGTGCAATCAATCTACTATCAACTCATAGTAACAATTCATATCTCTAGGTTTGAAGAATATAAGATATTATCGTCTCATGATCACTCGTGATAAAATCCATGAAGTGATTCCAATGAGCGCATGTTGAATCCAATACTCAGAACTTATGAGCACTCATGAGTGTTGTAGCCCTTTTTCCAACACCTTAGACCTCTACAAGCCAACCCATGACAGTCTTAATTCATATCTACTTCCAACATATGACCGACTGTGGATGGTTTGAATAACTTAGTCATTCTGGAAGAATAACCTAGTTTATTCGGGAAGTCAAAACATGCAAAGTGAAACACAATAATAATTGAATCCAATATGGTATCAAAACCTATGAACATAAATAAAACACCTTTCATTTATCACCATATGATTACACATTATTCATTGTATACTGTTTCAGCTATCAACTTTATTCTTGAATTTAAAACAATAGTTGTCCCATGCTCCAAGCATGTACACTATGTTTTCTAAACATTAGTCATGCCATACACCAAGTATGCATACTATGTTTGTCTAAGATCTTTACTTTGTGAACTAGATCAATTGAACATAACTTCAATGATTCTCTTTTCACACTCCCAAATCCTTACTGCAAATACAAGAATTCCAAATTCATGTCATTTACTGAAATCTGTTAGATTCTAAACTTATATGCATTGATCCTCTCGTAATGATTATGCACAAAGTCAGACAGACTTGACAACAACCATTACAGAGAATTCCAAAAGAGATCAGCTCCTTAGAAACATCCTTCTTGCATTAAGTTTCCTAATCTTACATAGATTGAAATCTCTGACTTTAAAACATTTCCAGATTCATTTTGACTATCACTTCTGAACAAGAGTTGCCTCCTTACAGATTATGTCAATATGGTCCTTCCAGAATTATCACTATACTTCCAATTGTCCTTGAGAAACCAATCTTTGGTAAACCTTAGATTGTCCTCGACAATTGTTTAATCCTTTTAGTCATATCCAGTTCTAAACCTTTTCCCTTCTTAATGCCCCTGGCATTTGGAAAATTTTAGAAAGGATGAATATAGCACATGTAATCGAACCTATATCCGAAGCATATGGGACACGATTCATGATGTCTCACATAAAGACTAAACCAGTCTTTTGCTATAACATTTCCATTTCTATTTGCCAAGCTCTCATAATTCAGATTATGAAAAGGGATGCCGTACTCATAATCGAATTTTAGAACGCAAATAATGGACCCAGATACAGAATTTCCTTAAGTTGAGCCATTCCAACATGAAATTAATATATATCCTTGACTAAATGATTAAAACCTCACGATCTAAGCTTATAGATTTGAGATGAAGTATAATTTCCTCTCCCTTAATTATAGCAAAACAACTTTTTCCCAAATGAAACCTTTTTTGTTTTCTATAACTAACATTGCTAACTTGCAATATTTATCATAATTATCATGCTCCCACTAACATGATGATTATTAGCATAACACTTATGCTCCCACTAGCTTTAACATGTACTCAGAAAGCTCAACTTCTAGAAATCAATACTTTATTGACTTTCTTAACAAAGTTCAGATTTCTGATGCTAGATTGTTTTGATAAAAC